TTATTTTTTACGCTGGAGAATGTGATAGTTACAATGTGATAGTTACAAATGTGAGTCTTATTTATTTCACTTATGATGATTTTCCATTCTTAATTAGAGTGAGCTTTATAACTTCATTTTTTAAAATAATAGTAAAAAGTACATGACATGAAGCTTACTGCTTTAATCACGTTCAGTGAAGTGGCGTTAGGTGCCTTCACAAAGTTGTGCAACCGCCAGCACCACTCAGCTCCAACACCTTCATACCTTGTGATACTGAGACTACACACTCAGCCTGCGTGACTCCCCACTTCCTCCTCCCTGGCCCCTGGCAACCAGCATTAAAATTTCTGGTTCCATAAATATGATGACTCTAGGTGCCTGAGACAATGGAACTGTCAGTCACTCAGTGTCATTGTGAGGTTACCTTACTTTACTGGGCATAATGTCTTTGACTTGACCCTTCTTGTGTTGTATTTCAGGATTTCCTTCATTTTTAAGGAGTCATATTCCATCCTCTGTATGCACCACATTTGTGCTACCCATGCATTTTGCTCACCCAGTGGCCATTTGGGTTGCTTCCACGCTTTGGCTACTGTGAATACGCAATGCTTATGAAGTCTGTACATTGATAGAGTTCAACAGGTGGTCTAATTTCATGGCCCCAGTTGCTCTGATGACACTTATTATAGCATCTTGTTTTGATAGAGGAGCACATCGAGGATCAAGCAAAGCATTTCATGTGCTTGTCGTGTCTCTTAACTTAGGACATTTGTCCTCCTGGACCCTTCTATGCCCCTAGGAATCTAGACCCGCTGTTTTGGAGCTGGTCCTTTAACTGAAGTTGGTCCTTGATTTCAGAGGGTGGCAGGAAGAGCACAGGTCGGGTGCTGTGTCTTTCTGGACACATCGGGTACAATTTCATGTTGTGGGATCTCTGAGCCCACCATTGTTCTGAAGGAGAGAGCTTTGCTAAGCCATCTCTGCTGGATACCCAGGCCACCCACGCGGGAGACTCCCACGGGTGTAGGCAAGTGCCACACGTGGCTTTCAGTCACTCCAAGTCATAAGAGACGGCCAAAGTCTCCCAGGCCTGCTGCCCCTAGTCACACATCAGTAAAAGTGGCTACTTTATGGAGTATCTAGTGCCAGGCTCTGTAAAAAACACCCTGCTGGGCGTGGTGGTGCAAGCCTGTAATCCTAGAACTCAAAAGGCTGAGGCACAGGATCGCTGTGAGTTCAAGGCCAGCCTGGGCTACATACTGAGACTCTGTCTAAAAAAAAGAAAAAGAAAAGGCATTCCATGCAACTGGTTGTGGTGATTTACTCCCATAATCCTAGAACCCTGGAAGGCTGAGACAGGAGGATCACCAAATTATAGTCTGGTATGGGAAAGTTAGTACCTTAGCTAACTTTGGCTCAAAACAGAAAAAAATCAATAAATAAATAAGGGGTGGGGATGTAGTTCAGGGAAAAGGATTCAATTTCCAGTGTGAGGTAGAGATGAGGGGCAAGATAAAACCAAAGAAAGCTTGCATGCACCAGTCATCACGGAGTACTGCACCCTCATTGTATGAATGATGTTCATTGAAAAAGATGTCTAGAGAGGCTCAGCATCTCGCCTGAGGTTGCCCAGCAGGAAGTAACAGGTTTGGGACTTCCACCAGGGCCCCATTAATCTCTAGATCAGGATGCTCATCACCATGTAATATGGCCTCCTTTGAGGGCCACGCGAACCAGGAAGCTGTGCAAGGCTGTCATGAAGGGGCCCAACTGCAGGAAAAGGAAATAAAAGCCAGAGAGGCTGTGTGTTCCAGCCAGCTGTGGAATGGTGACCTGCACCAAGAGCTTCTGACTACTCCTGACCAATCACCCTTGTCACATGTTCAGGCTCTGATACACCAGTGAAGAAGGTGGCGGGCATCAAGAAAGCTGCTGCTGAAATGCCCAGGGAAAGGGCAGAGGAGAGTGACAGTAGTCACCCATGCTGTCTCTCTCTCTCTCTCTTTCTCTCTCTCTCTCTCTCACACACACACATACACACACAAATACACACACACGGCCGTATGAGCCGCAGAGAGACTCGGACCTGTGCACCCTGATCATGTCTCTCTCTGACAGCCACCGTGGCTGCTACACCCGGCCTCTCCCTGGCTGTGACAAGACACATCCTGTCCAGTTATTCCTGCTCATCAAGGAATCTGAATTTTAGGAGGAAGTTCCTAAGGAAAATGCTAGCTGGGCCTAATGGTCTCAAGCAGCAGATTTCTTAAAGCCAGGTCTCAAAGGTTAACCCAGAATTTCTGATTGTCTAGTACTAAGCCACTAAGTGGGGATGTGGGAGGAGGCCTAAGTCACCTGCACGGGACAAGAAAAGCCAAGGGTAGAGAGGGAAAAGGCTGACTCTTACCCACCTTCCAAATCCTAAATGAAAATTGCTTTCTTTCTGAATTCTACCCTGATCACCCCAGGACTCAGCAGGCGTCCCTCAACTCCACAGGAAAAGGTTGTTCTGCTTGGCTTCCTCTTCTGAAGTATTCACCACACAGGGGCAGTGCACCTTTGTATAGCTATTTACTTCTACTTCTGAGCTACGCATGTTTGAATTAGCAAAATAGAAAGGATTCACCCCTTTGTTCAGAAAAATAACTAGCAAGTACCTGAAACTAGGTTCTCTTCTAGGTGCTGTAGCTCTTTTTGGGGCTGACATTCTGGAGTAGAGAGAAGACAGATAAACACAGAAGACAAAGGGCAGGGCTGCAGGGCTGAGGAGGAAGAAGGATAGCCACATGGAGATCGGAAGAAAGAGGAGAAAGGCCCAGGAGCTTCCCCCCAGCTCCTCCTCCCCCAGCTCCTCCTCCGGGGCCACAGCCCCTGCACCCTGCACACACCTGGGGCTCCCTGAGGTGGGCCTGCTGGGCTGGCCTGATGCTCTTCCGAGGACCTAGACTTCCCCACTCTCTGTCTTAAGGTGGCCACCTCTTCTCCCAGACCAGGGCTTGGGGACTGTGCCACGGCAGCTTTTCTCCCCTATAGCTGTCCTGTGACTCTCTGGGACCCAGAGGTCCATGGATCTACGTGCAGCAGCCTCCTCTGCCCAGCCCTGTGTCCCTGCCCTTCATGAACTCCCACTGCCATATGCTTAGGTGTCTGTCCCCAGGCACACATTTGAATTCAAACCTCCTTGTCCTGGCTAGATGGGACAGGTGTGATATGGTAGAAAGATGACAGCTTTTGAAATCAGACAGCCTAGGGTTTGAATCTCTAGCAAGTTCCTGGGATCAGCTGAGAGCCCTGTCTTTTCATCTGCAGGATGTAGCTACAACTTCCATCTTGGGTTTAGCTGAGAAATAAAAAATACATCAAAAGTGTCTGTCCACAGCAGGCACCTAACAAATGGCCCCTATTGCAGGTAATGCTGCTGTGGAATCTGACTGTGTCTTGGGATTTCTTTTTCTTTCTTTCTTTAAAGGTTTTTTTTTTTTTTTTTCTTTTTTGAGACGGTGTCTCCCTACCCAGTCCAGGCTATGTAGCTCAGGGTGACCTCAAACTCACGGCGATCCTCTGCCTCAGCCTCCTGAGCACTGGGATGACAGGTGTGCACTACCACAGATGACTGGCCCTGTCTTAAGGTAGGCTGTTTCTCTGCCAAGGAGATGGGACACGCTGGCCCCCAAACCAGCACAGTGGAGACACCATAACTCTGTGCTCAGCCTCAGGTGTTGACCACAGCCTTAGTGGCTTTTACAAATCTGAATTTCAATTGGCAAAGACATTAAGCCCAGAATTGGTGAGGATTCATGGGGGAGGCTCCTTAGCCCTGATCATGGATGTGTGCTCTGCTGGGTTAAATCTTTCTGAGGGGAATCCTTCCATTTGGGAGTAGAAGAAAGAGGATAAGAGCCCAGGGCCATCTCATCAGTCCTGCTTCCTCCAGCTGCAGCCTCCTGCACCCCAAAACATTCTTGCCTCTAAGAATTCCTGGAAGCAGAGGCAAGGACTTTCACACCTGTATGTTATGATGGCATTATTTTTCATACCAAACAAGTTTTTAAAAATTTCATTATTTAACCCTACGGGCTTGGCTAAATAAAACATGGTATTATCCTGCTGTAAAATGTTTTCATAGAAAAGTAACACAGGAAGATGTTTACAAAATATTGAATGAAGCAGGCTATGAATCGGTATTACAGATCAAAGCCCTGCCCCTAGTTCTCCCTCCCCCCTACCATGCCAGAAAGGCAAGACAGACCCCAAAATACACATGTTCCTTTTGGGAGGTGACTATTTTCTTCTTTGTGCATTTCTGTATTTTCCAAAATCTCCACAATATAAGAAAAGTTAGAAAATCAAATTTATTTTGACAAAATATGGAGTAGGCACAGTTTTAGCTTAAATGGTTAATTCACATATTAACCTAAAAATAATTTCCAATGATAGTTAATGATAAACTCTGAAATTATCCTCACAATCCTTTATAGAATTTTCCTCCTTAACATCCCTTTTATTTTGTAAGTTTTAGACGTACAGAAAAGTTGCAAGGGTGGCCTAGAGAGTTTCAGTATCAAAACCCACTTGGCCCTGTTACTGGCATCTTACCTAACCAGGGTGCTTTCGTCCTAACTGAAAAACAGACATGGGTTGTCACTGTGAACTGAACTCCCTACTTACGTCCCTGTGTCTTATATGAATTGGATACTCTGGAAAAGAAAGCACCGATGATCATGATTCACAGCTGGGGGTTTCTTGCTTTCAGATCTCCGTGGGAGCCCACAGATGCGCTCAGATGCACCCCTAGCCCCTTTCTTTCTCTGCTCCCTGGACGCCAGGGGAAAGGGGCAGGAGTCCCCGAGACCCTCCGGAGTTGGGCTCGCTGCCTGCCGCCTCTCCTGCAGCGTGGCGGCTTGCGTGCTGGCCCAGGCCTGCGGAGGCTGCGCCTCCAGGTTCGGCGCGCCCAGTGGCTGGTTGTGCGCGCGGGCGGCGGCGCCGGGTCACCTGTCTCGCGGCCCCCAGCACCGCCCCGCCCCGGCTCCTATAAGCCCGGCCGCCGCCCGAGCCGCCGGTTCACCCGCAGCATGGCCTGGAACACCAACCTTCGCTGGCGACTGCCGCTCACCTGCCTGCTGCTGCAGGTGGCCATGGTGGTCCTCTTCGGAGTATTCATGCGCTATGACACCGACGCGGATGTCAGCTGGTGGCGGGAGAAGGCGCACAGAAACATCACCACCGACCTGGAGAACGAGTTCTACTACCGCTACCCGAGTAAGTCTGCGCTCACCTGGGCCACTGCGGTGCTGCCCATCTGGCTGGCGGTGGCATAGGGGTGGCTGTGCTGGCCAACCTCTACACAGCCTCTTCCCTGGGAGCCACAAGGAGAGAGCGGGCTTCTGAACCATGCTCCGAGCCTTCCCATGACCCTGCCAGAGAGCCCTACCGGGTGTCCTCAAACTGCCCAGTTCACCTGCATCAACAACCAGTGGTGACTTGGTGCCCGCGTCCGGCTCTGCCTGTACACTCTGGATAAGAAGGGAGGTCCCATGGCACAAGCCACACGATGACCCTGCGGCCTGCCAGTCTTGATGTGGGGACAGCTGTGTGGGACCAGCTCTGGTGCTGGGCCAGGAGGCCACAAGCGCCCTTGCTCTTTGAGTTTGGAGAGAGACAAGGACTGTCCCTGAATTTTCCATGTCCTTGGCACCATGGTTAAGAACACAATCAGCCTCGGATTCAGACACCTTTCTACCCAGCTACCTGGATGGGTGGCCCTGGGCATATGTCAACCTTGCTGACCCTCAGTTTCCTGGTGAGCCAAACAGGGACCATAACAGGGTGAGACGTGACTGGTGTGAGACAGGGTGTAAGCTCGCACACAGCGCTGGGCATGTGATTGTCACTTCTGATGGAGCAGCCATGGTCATAGCAGGACCCAGGCTGCTCGGAGCTTCAGAGCAGGCTCCAGGTCCCTTGGGTCGCCTGACTTTGGGGCTCCCAGCAGGGACCCTTTTCCACACCCTGTGTTCTCTAATTTCCCCCCATCTACCAGCAGCCAATGATAGTTCTCTGGACTGTTGGCATTGACTATTAGTTTTGGAAGGGACCTGGAAACTCATTTCCAATGGCTACCTGTACCAACCAGTGGCCCTAGAGGGCTGTACACTCAGCAGCCCGGCATCCTCTAACTCCAGGAATGACATTTTACTTAGATTCCAAAACAAAATGCTGGTATTCACATGGGCAGCCTGCATGAAGACTCAGAAAAGGGAGGTGGCAGAAGGGTGCCCCCTGCTGGTGATCGAGCCCACCCAGGCAAGCATTTTCAGATGTCTGGACAACTGTGGCCTTGGGGTTCAGACTCTTGTCTGTGGCTCCCTATCTCCACAGCTCTGAATTTCCCAGGAGTGATGTGGCCCTCCCCAGGCAGACCCCATGATTGTCCTAGCAAACTAGGGCTATGGTCACACTAGACAAACAATTGAGCATCATGGATTATGAATCCCCATGAAGTCCCAGACTTGTTGGGAACAGAGAGGTGCACCCAACACCCCAGAGCATTAAGGGGCATCAGGTGCTCTGGAAAAACTAGATCTGTGACAGTCTCATAGGAAACAGTGGACAGTGAGGAGCAGAGACACAGAGCAGTGAAGGGGCGCAACAAAGGGGGTGCTGGAAGGTGGGGAGAGTGAATACTCAGCGTGCCCTAGAGTAGATTGTGATATGGGAGAAGCTGGGGTACCAGAGTACATGCCTGTAATTGCAGTTCTGTAGGAGGCTGAGGCAGGAGGATCAAGACCAGCCTGGGTAATTTAGCAATTTAGAAAAACCCTATCTCAAAGTAAAAAATAAATAAATAAGTGAAGGCCCTGGGCACCACCCCAATACTGCAGGGGATAAAAAAAAAAAAAGTGGAGAGCTAGGTGTGGTAGCACATGTCTGTAATCCCAGGACTCAGGAGGCTAAGGCAGGAGGATCATTGTGAATTTGAGATAGGCCGGGCTTCAAAGTGAGCTCAAAGCCAGCCTGAGCTGCGTAGTGAGACTCTGTCTCAAAAAAGAAAAAGAAAAAAAAAGTGGGGGAGAACCCTACCGGTCAAAGAAGTGCTGAGCCCCCCTGCCACCCACCCTATGAGTAGGGCCACCAAAACAGGAAGTGACCGAGGAGAGAGGTGTGGGGAGGAAACTCTGGTCTCATGATTCCTCGGATGAGACAGGAGCCCCTCCAACAGGAAAGTGCTCCCTCCACACGGGAGGCATCATTAGGACCTCCGTTTTACTGCTGAGAAAACTAAGGTGAGAGAGATGAGTCCGGCAAAGGCCACTCAGCAAAGAGGCCAGGAGCCGGGGTCACTCTCCTGTCTCTAGTCTCAGCCATTGCCTTCCCCAGCCTCAATTTTTTCAGCTCTATGGCTGTGTTTAGGTGACAGAGGGCCTGAGGCTTCTACCCTGGCTGGGTCCCCAAGCCTGGGTTCCTGAGCAGCTAGTTCCCCGGGACCCAGCTGGGTACCCTGCCTGGGCGGGGCTCCAGGGTGTCACACAAGAGCCTGCTGGCCATCTGCAGGTCCCTGGGTAGTCTAGTTCTGGCTGAGGACAGCTCCCAGGTAGCAGGCAGCAGGCTGAGGACCTTGCTGTCAGTGGCCTGGAGGAGGAAGCTGCAGCGTGGTCCAGGGCAGCGTGGCCTGAGGGCAGCCGTCTGAGCTTGAGCCTGGTTTTCTGTGGGACATGTTTCAGGAGAGATGCCGGGCAGAGGTGACCTATCTCAGACACCTAAGGGAAGGTCTATTTCAGGAGGCCAGGAAGCCAGGGTCACCTAGGGCTCTGGGTTCCCTGCCTCACACTCAGTTCCAGCTGATAAAGCACAGGTTTCCCAGAGCAGAGAGACAAGAGACCTGGTGGCTGACTTTGGACTCCACCCCTCCATGGAGTGGATGGTGACCCCACCACACTGGTCTTAGTGGACCAGAAGAATGATGTGCGGTATGGTTTGTGCACTGATCCGTGGCCCAAAGTAAGCACACAGTGAGAACTGGCTCAGGTGTGCTCTGTGGATAGAAAGGCTTAACCGTAGGCTCAGCACCCTCTAGATGTGTGTCTTGGGACGTCTCCTGGAATACTATATGGGCATTTAGACGCCTTTGCAAAGTGTCATTTGCTCACTTGGTCAGACATTTACTTTTTCCATGCTGGGGAGGAAGCAGAGATTAGGGGGGACCCAGCATGCCCGTCTCACCAGTGGCCCAGACAAGGACTAAGCCAAGCCTCTTACCCACAGCCAGCAGCTGCTTTCCAGAATCTTCTGTGGCTTTTTGCTACCTGTCACCGTCTCCTGCCCCTTTGGAGGTTTTTGCAGGGCTGCTGTGGGACAGGAGGGCCATGGATCTCTGGGGGACAGAGAGATCGACCAGGGAGTCTCACAGCAAACAGATGAGACTGGGCTAGCCCCAGGGGATGGGCAGCCGAGGAGAGGGCACTGCAGTGGCTTACCCATGTGGGAAACGTACTCCCACCTGGGAGACTCAGCCATGCTCCTGGGGGACTAAGGCAGGGCGGGAGAAGGGCACCTTACACAGGGATGGCTGGGAGCAGAGGGTATGGTATGTGGGTGCCCCCTGGCGGCAGCTCTCGGTGCTGGAAGCCAGTGCTAGTGCCTGCCCTCCCCTCAACACCCCAAGTCAGGGACTGGACCGAGGAAGCAGTGGTAGGATTGCTTGAGTAACCCATCACCCGCAGCAAGTCACCAGCCCACCCAGTGCACTGCACCTGGTCGGTCTTGCCATCCGATTGGCTTTTGTTTTGTTTTTGAGGCAAGGTCTTGCTATATAGCGCAGGCTGGCCTTGAACTCAAAATCCTCCTGCCTCAGCCTCCTGAGTGGTGAGATTACAGGCATGCACCCTACACCTGATCAGTCTTGAAAGAGCAAAAGAGAAGTAATAGCTCCTATGATCGAAGCAACTGATAAAGAGCCAGGCCTGTGCCCGGGCTGTGATACGATGTTCTCATTAAACGTGTGCCACAAAACCTCCGGGTCTTGTGTTGTCGGGCACTGTTTACCCCACTTACCAGTAAAGAAATTGGACTGAGAGGCGGTGTCCTTGGCTAACATTCACATCACTGCTGCTTAAATCATTTTGCAAAAAATGTTTTTCTGGTACTGAAGACTGAACCCACAGCCTTCACCCTGAGTTACATCCCCACCCCCACCCTTTTAAATTCTGAGACAGGGTCTTTACTAAGTGGCCCAGGCTAGGCTTGAACTTTCAATCCTCCTGCCTCGGTCTCCTGGAGTGCTGGAATTAGGTAGCACCAAACTCTATGAGAGGAAAAATTAACAAGCTGCTATGTGCTAGCACTAAATAAGGACCAGGTTGGGGGAAAAAGAGAAAGAGAAGCGGCTGAGGAGCGGGAAGCTGGTGTGTACACCAGGTAGAGAAAGAAAAAGACACCTCTGGAAAGGGTCAGAGGAGCAGAGGGCACCCCGGGGAGCAGGGAGAGGAGGATGGCTAAGAAAGTGAGGCCCTCCTGAGCCCCTTCCAGCCACAGAGACGAGGGAAGGCAGCCCCCACCCTGCAGGTTCCCCCTGCGACCTTCAGCTCCGCCCCCACCCATGGCAGCTCTCTCCTTGAAAGTTCCCTGACTCCCTTGAGGCTCGCTTTCCCAGAGGTTCCCCCTGCCAGCACCTTGCCTGGCTGCTGGCTTCCGCCTCCCAAGCTGCCAACACACAGCCCTACTGCAGGCTCGCCCAGTCTCCAGCACCCACGCTCCCCTTCCCCAGCCAGGGTCATCTCCGGCTCCCCTGGGCCAGGTGGGGACTCAGCACTCCCCTCCCACCCCACCACCTCCTCTCCCACTGCCCTGTGTCTGTCATCAGCCCTGCCACCCTGCCATTCGGCTCCTCTCCCGGCTTCCAAAGTTGTCATCTGAATGTGTCACCTCCCCCTGCTTCACAGCCCTCTTCCCGTCTGTCACCCTCACTTCTTCCCAGAATAACCGTAATACCTTTTATGGTGCTTCACATACACTCGCTCACAACAGTTGGAGACGCTCACAACAGTTGGAGACGTGATAAACCATGAAACACGATTATCCGTGAACTCAGATGCGCACGCGGAGAAACCTGCTCGAATGAACTCCAAGGGAAGCTCAGGGCACCATCCTGGAGGACGCCCGCTCTCTGGCCTCAGCTTGCCCTCCTACCCTTCAGTGTGCCAGTGCTTCATCCAAGTAGCTGCCAGCCAAGAGATCTCCTGTAGTCATGGCCTGGAGGGGAGACAGATGAGGGCAGATGGGGACGGGCACCATCAACGCAGCCGCAGCAGGACCATTGCTGCCCCTGCACCCTGGCCCAGCTGCAGGGGCACGAGCCCAGGCTATCCTTGAACTTGCAGTCACCTCCTGCCCTGGCCTCCTGGATTACAGCTGTGTGCCACCTCCACGGCTCGAAGTTCAGTACTCTGCTGTTTGCTAGAGTCCTCCTGCTGTTCCTCACCTACTCACTATCAGTGTGGACTCATGAAATCCTATTTTAAATGGTTTGAATACAATGTAGCGCCTAATTGTTTTGGTGCTCAATTGGTCCCACATGGGACAGCCAGGAACCCTTCAGTGTGACCGGCAGCCATGACACCTGCAAGGGCTTTTAGAGTTTTACACTTCTGTGACTTTGTTTCTCAAAGCTCTTTGACGTCTCTCATTTCCTCAGTGTCTAGAGCCATGCAGTGCGAGCGCTGGGAGGACACTCGAGGCCATTCTAAGCCAACTCTTTAGTTTTATTGTTGAGAAACTGCAGCTCCAAGGGCAAGTAGCTGGCCAAGGCCACGTCCTGAGTTGGTACACGAGTTGGATCCAAACTCAGACAGAGCTGGGCCTGCCTGAGTGGCAATAAATAATGCTACTTGACTGTTTTGATCCCATTATGAGTAGGCACTGTGTGGGGTGCCTTGCACATACACCTATGTTGAATCCCTGAATCAGCTATGAGCTCAGCAAACCAGGTGGGGCCGAAACCAGAGAGTCTGGGAAAGTCCCCAGAGTCTTTCCTAGGAGGATGAAGAAGCTGAGTCCAAATTCCATTCTTGCTGATGAGGAAGGGTAGGTGCTAGCAGTGGTGGTGGCAGGCTGGGAGTGACCAGCTGGCCAGATGAGCACTGATTTCCCACCAAAAAGGTGAGAGAAATGGTGGAGACAGCTAGGGTGTCTGCCTTGATGGTCTGCACCCCAGCTCCTAAATTCAGATGGCCACCTGCCCACCCCACCCTAGGTCACCAGAGACATCGGGTTGCAGGGTAGGAGGCAAAAGATGTCATCTCCCAAGGGGACTCTTAGGTATCTGCTGGTCCAAGTTGTAACCCAAGGATCTAGGCTGGGGGCCTAGCCCAGGTCCAAACGGGGGTCCCCTAGTTCAGTCCTCCTTAGACTAGAAGGGTAGGGCGATTCCACAGCAGGGGAGTCACTAGTCATCAGGCCTAAGTGCCCAGCCCGGACACAGGATGAGGGAAGAGGAAGATGGGCTTGGGGCTCGAGCATGAGCGAGCAGGTGACAGAAGGCAGTGACACAGGGCATAGCCAGTCGCTAAAACCTCGCCTTACTCTCCCCACAGGCTTCCAGGACGTGCATGTCATGGTCTTCATGGGCTTTGGCTTCCTCATGACCTTCCTGCAGCGCTATGGTTTCGGGGGCGTGGGCTTCAACTTCCTGCTGGCGGCCTTCGGCATCCAGTGGGCGCTGCTCATGCAGGGATGGTTCCACCACCTGGATCCAAAGGGCCGCTACATCCTCTTGGGCATCGAGAGGTGGGCTCAGGGATGGCCCGACGGGCGGAGTCCAGGCGGGAGGAAATGGGCGGGGACAGGCGCGGAGGGGCAGGCTAGGGGCGCGACACTGGGCGTGGCAGGTGGGTGGGGACAGACCCTATTGGTGGGAGGGCACTGGGCTGGCAGGTGAGTGGGCGGGGCCAGGCCCGATTGGTGGGAGGGCACTGGACTGGCAGGTGAGTGGGCGGGGCCAGGGTGTGTGCCATAGAGAGGCTACTTTCTCGATATTCCGGATGCCTGTGACAGACACTAGCACAGGAGCACGCAAACATACACACACATAGCTTTCTCATTAACACTTTTGAGGACGGCAGTTCTCATGGCATCCAGGCGAGGTGCTTCATGTGCCCAGGACTTCACCCATGTGTCCCTTATTGCCATGGGTCCATTATTCCAGAATGCGAAATTCAGGCTCCAAGTGGTTAAGCCACAGCCCAAAGCCACAGATGGCCGAACTCGAGCCGAGCCGGGAGTTGGTGTGTCACTCGCTATCGCTGTCCCAGCCTCCTTCCCAGCTTGTCTCTCCCTCGCAGTCTCATCAATGCTGACTTCTGTGTGGCCTCTGTCTGCGTGGCCTTTGGGGCAGTGCTGGGCAAAGTCAGCCCCATCCAGCTGCTCGTCATGACCCTGTTCCAAGTGACCCTGTTCACGGTGAATGAGTACATTCTTCTCGACATACTAGAGGTGAGTGGGGCTGGGATGCAGGAGGTAGAGGGAGGGACACACATCGGCCTGGCAAGTCCCTTTTCCGCCTGAGCCTCAGCCCCTGCATCTCTCCCATAGCAGACGTTACATCTAGGCAGCTGCCATGGCACCTGGCCCCTGCCTGTGCACAGCAGCCAGTCCCAGAACACTGGGTTTTCTCTTCGTTTCTCCTTCCCTCATGTGCCACGGAAGGAGGACGACACTCTCGCAGGTACCCTTGCCTGCACACGAGGCCCCAAGATTGCTCTGCCAAGCAAAGGACCCAGTGTACCAGGGGGCAAACCTGTAAGGAAGGATCCCAGGGGAGCTGTGCAGTGCACAACTTCAGAGATGCCACTGACAAGGACTGGCAGAAATGCAGCCCTCTGGGGCTGGCCAATTCTGTGGCCTAGATAAGAGAGACTTAGAGGACAGAGCGGGTAAGGTGCCATCGAGGGACCTCCTCTCCTATACTGGGGCTCTGCCTGACACGGTGCCACCTAACAAGGGGAGTTTGATCACCCTAAATTCAGTCTCTCATTTTGTCACCTTTTTAGCCACAGATGAGTCCCAGCCACCATGTCTCTTCTCTGTGATTTGTCCCCTGAGTCCACCCCCTCACCCATTAGACCAGTCTCCACCACCATCCCCCCAATTAAAACCCAGCAACAGCTTTTAATCGAACTTAGGATAAGACCTAGGGGCAGGTGGGGGTGGAGAGAGGCACAGGAGGTTACCGGGAGCCTGGAGAGTAGGAGTGAGATGGAGCTGGGTGGACAGGGGCAGTCTTGGGTGGACAGGGGCAGTCTTGGGTGGACAGGGGCAGTCTTGGGTGGACAGGGGCAGTCTTGGGTGGACAGGGGCAGTCTGGTCAGGGGGGCCTTGGGGTTGTTGTGTGAAACGAAGGAGAGCGGTCTCAGGAATTAAGAAAGTAGGTGTGAGACATAAGATGGGACTTCCCTGGCTTGTAACTGCCAGCCTGTGACTGAGCTGTTCCTCTCCAAGCTGGGCTTCTCCATCTGGGAACATCCCAATTGCTGGGTGAGGTGCCCAGGCCTCCTTTGGCCAACAGCTCACAGCCTAGTGCTTCAGGGACCCCCATCTTGCCTCACCCCATTGGCTGAGCTCCACCCTGCAGCATAAAGAGTTTGTGTGCTGTGCGCCAGAGGGCGGAGGAGGAGAAAGCGTCAGATTCTGACCGGCTCCTTGCCCTGCAGGTGAAGGATGCAGGGGGCTCCATGACCATCCACACATTTGGTGCCTACTTTGGGCTCACAGTAACCTGGATCCTTTACCGTCGCAACCTAGAGCACAGCAAGCAGAAGCAGAGTTCTGTGTACCACTCGGACCTCTTCGCCATGATTGGTGAGGGCCGCCATGACGGCTGAAGGCTGCCATAGTGGGTGGGGACTGCCATGATGGGTGGAGCCACCATGATGGATAGGTCATGATGGGGAGGGCTGCCATGATGGATGAGGACCATGATGATAGGTAAGAGTCACCATGATGGGCCACCCTGGTGTATGGAGACTGCTGTGATGGGTGAGGGACGCCATGATCACCATGTTTGATTGCTACACAGTTAGTGGGCAGCTGCCAGCCCCTTGTTGGGCAAGGCAGAGGCAGACTGTCTGTAAATACTTCTAGAATCCCAGATGTCTGCCTCCTTCCCTTGGGGATGAAGGAAAGCAGTCTCCTCCTGTACTTTCCCTAGCATTCCCCGTGGCACACGTGCGGTAACCAGACACTGGCCTGCGCCTTGGCTGGGGCCAGCATGCATTCCCACTTCCCGGGTCCATTCATGCAGAGACAGCCGCCCACATCCCCACTGCTGATGCCTCTCAGCACAGCATGGGAGGAGACTGTGCCCTCCTCACTCCCTGCAGTGGGGCAGGGCTTCTCAGTGTGGTTCTGTAGGGGAACTGCATGGATGTTTAGTCTGTCATGGGTCAGGCAGACTTCCTAGAGCTGGGAAGGCACAGGGCACTTTCAGGAGGACCCTAATGCTTCCTCTCTGTCCGCTGGCCTGTATGTCTGACCCAGGAACCCTCTTCCTGTGGATGTACTGGCCCAGCTTCAATTCAGCTATTTCCTCTCATGGAGATGCCCAGCACCGAGCTGCCATTAATACCTACTGCTCCTTGGCGGCCAGTGTGCTGACCTCAGTGGCACTGTCCAGTGCACTGAACAAGAAGGGCAAGCTGGACATGGTGAGTGGGGTCAGGGGGGCCCCTGTGCTACCTATGCTGAGTGGGCCCTGATTGCCACAGTCTGCCAGAGCCTGGGGGTGGCGCAGCAGCATCTGGGTAGTGTGCCATCTTGCAGGTGAGGAAACTGAGGCCCAGGGAGCAGTAACTTGTGCAGAACACATAACTGGCTGTTCTGCCCTCCCCCAATTCCCCCTTCTCCTCCTCCTTCCCTTCCCCACTGCCCCACAGGGCTGCTGGGGCCATGTCCCCTCTGCCATGCTACTGACCCTCCAGATACCAGCCCTTGGGCTGATCACCCATTCGTATATGTGCTTTGCTGTCTCCACTGGTGACACTGGGGACATCATATTGCACAGTGACCTGACATCACACTCTTGGGGCAGCTGTTTCTGCCACTGTACACAGAGATGGCACTTGGGCACCAGAGGGAGTAGGCTGTGCAGTCATAGCCACATGCAGAGCAGAAGGTGGGGCAGGAGCCCTGGCCCTGCTAGTGCGTGGTGTGGACCTGTGTGTGTCGGATGTGCTGGTGAGGGCACACAGGTTATCCACAGCACCCAGGAAGGGGACAGGCAGGTAACACTGACACCACCCCCCCGGCTCATTACACAGACTCTGAGCCACCCCTGGGTCCCAGGCACGGCTGGGCCACCCTTGCACCAAGAGTGGACAGAGGCTGGTGTTTTGGGAGGAGGACCAAGTGTGCCCACTCTGCCCACACCCAGGTGCACATCCAGAATGCCACGCTGGCTGGAGGGGTGGGCGTGGGCACCACCGCCGAAATGATGCTCACGCCCTACGGTGCCCTCATTGTGGGCTTCTTCTGCGGCTTCATCTCCACCCTGGGCTTCGTGTTCCTCACGGTGAGGGGCCCAGGCCGTGGGCTGGGGCTGAAGAGGGCCTGGAGGATGTGGTGCCCCGGGAGACACTGGGGATGGGAGGTCCTGGCTCCCTGCCTCGGCCCTGCCTGACCATTCTCTCCACCCCAGCCATTCCTGGAGTCCCGGCTGCGTATCCAGGACACATGTGGTATTCACAACCTGCACGGCATCCCTGGCGTCCTGGGCGGCATCGCAGGTGCTGTGACAGTGGTCTTCGCAGACCCTGATATGTATGGACCCGCAGGGTAAATGCACTGGATGTGTGGGAAGGTGGGGTGCCTCCTTCCTCTTCCATTTCTCCTTTTTGCCGGCCTGGCTGGGGTCCCACACCCTCTCCCCTGCCTCTCTCTCCCAGTCTCATTCCCTTTGCAAAGCATAGACACCACCCATCTGTCCAATACCCCCATTCCATAGCAGGGAAGCCTGAGGCCTGAGGTTCCCCAGGCTGATGTGCCCGTGAACATTTGTGAGGTGGCAAATAGGGGTGATTTGTCCTTTCTCTGGGGCCCTGTCCCATCTCCATCCCAGGTTCTCAAAGAAAGTCCGGGAATCAAGAATTCAGGGCAAGTTCCAGATTTACGGCCTCCTTCTGAGCTTGGCCATGGCCCTGGTGGGCGGCATCATGGTGGGTAAGTGAGGGACACCCTGAGGTGTCCAGAAAGAGCCTGGTGGGTCCCAGCTGAGGGGAAGGGCAGGAGAAAGGGTGCAGAGAAAGCATCTCCTGACCTCCCGGGGCTTCCAATTCTCTTCAGGGCTCATCTTAAGACTACTGTTCTGGGGACAACCAGCTGATGAGAACTGCTTTGAGGACGAGGTGTACTGGGAGGTGAGTTCTGCAGACCCCCAAGGGCAGCCGCATCCCTACCCAAGCCCTCTCGGCATCCTGTTCCTGGGGCGGGGGGCAGTGTCTCCTGCATGTTGAAGATTCCTTTCTCCTCTTTCCTACCTGTCTCAGGATTGGAGGGGGTTGTGTGTGCTTCTTTTTTATTTTCTTTTTCTTCTTTTTTGAAAATTTTTCTTTCCAGGCTGGGTTTTCCTAAATCACCAAGTTCGCCAGGCTGGGCTTGAACTTAGTGATCCTCCTGCCTCAGCCTCCAAGAGTGCTGGGGTTATGGGGGTAATCATACCCGGCAGTGCCACTCTTTGTGCACAGTGTCAAGGATCCCAGAAACAGCCTATGGTGAGACTTGGTCTGGGTTGGGACTCAGACGCTGGAAAGTTTTAAAAAACTCGCTAGGTGATGCTGATGTCTGAGTTGTGTACATTTAATGCTCAACCTCGGTCTCCCTATGGACCCCTGGAAACCCTGCAGAAATGTGGCCTCCCAGGCACCAGCCCCGGAGATGTACGTAACTCGGCAGGACCTGGGCCTCTGTGCGTGAATGCACTCCATTGTGATTTGGGGAAGAAACTGAATCCTTAGTGTTCCACTGCTTGCAGTAGCTAGAAGTTAAAAATGGTGGACTGCCGTGGACTCAGTTTCTTTTCTTTCCTTTTTGAAAATTTCTTTTGTCTTTTTGAGACAAGGTTTCAATATGCAGTTCAGGCTGGCCTTGAACTTACTTTGTAGCCCAGGCTGGCCTCAAACTCACAGTGATCCTCCTGCCTCAGCCTCCCGAGTGCTGGGATTACAGGTATATGCCACCACACTCTGCTTTTTTCTTTTCTTTTTTTTTGGGGGGTGGATATTTCTTTAAAAGCATGCCAAACTTAGAGCTGTTTGTGGGCCCCGGCAGGCATCTCTGTCCAAGAATCACCCCTGCTGGTGCCTGCCTGGGCGGGACTGGAGGGTGGGGCAGGACATGAGGGAACTCCCTGCCCCTCCCTGGCCCCTCAGGATGAGGTCAAGGACTTGCCCTTGTCTGTGGCTCCCTGCAGGAGAAACAGCACTGTATTTGCCTGTTTTTATTTTGCGTTTTAGTTTTTTGAGACAGGGTCTCATTGTGTAATCCAGGCCAGTCTTGAAGCCATTGTGTGGCCCCGGCTGGTCTCGAACTCACGGGCAGTTTCCTACCTCAGCCTCCCACCTGCTAGGGGTATATACGTGCCCCATCACACTCGGCACTGCCTCTGTATTTATAAAAGCATATCAGAAGTTTTCAGGGTCCTTCAGACTACAATTCACAACAATCCTTATCCAACTGAAATGTAGTTTTTCTAATTCATATAACTTCATGGATATGTTAAGTCTTAAATTAACATCAAGTTTATTTTTTGGGTTTTTGTTTTCTTTTTTTGTTGCTGCTCTGCTATTTTTGTTTTGTGTTGTTTTGTCTTTGCAGTGCTTCAATAGAACCCTGAGCCTAGGCTGGGGATTTAGCTCAGCGGCATAAGCACCTGCCTTGTAAGCAGGCAGTCGTGAGTTCGATCCCTGGTACCGATAAAAACGAAAAAGACAAAAAAAAAAAAAAAAAAAAAAAAAGAACCCTGAGCCTCATGAATGCTAGACAGGCACCCTCCTACAGAGCTATGTCCCCTAAGTTTGTGGGGATTTCTGTGTGTGTGTGGGTGTGTTTGTGTTGTGGGGATTGAACTCCTGACCTCACCTTTGTCAAGCAGGTGCTTATGCTGCAAGCTAAATCTCAAAAAACTTATTAAAGAAAATCTGGATATAGAGGGAAAATGTCCAGAAATGCCATCACTAGGCCCTGGGGCTCAGAGTACGAGATGCGAGGTCCAGGGTTCAATCTCAAGTACAAAAAAACCCACCACTTTTCGTCTTTCTTTGGTTTACTTCCTGTTGTTTTTTTGGTCTCTGCACAGAGTTTTCTTCCACAGTCGAGGTGGCATTATCTGCCCAATTTAGGATCCCGCTCTTCCTTTACCTCTCCAGTATAAGAACTGTTCTACGTTATTACATTCTTAGTAAACTTGCTTTTGTTCTCAGCAGAGTTTTCATCGTGCCTTTAAAGTCAGACAGTGCGCTGTTGAGACACCGCAATTAGTAACCACATGGGCTTGATGTTCATGAAATCAATCCGAGGTTCGCAGTGTCGGTAGGCAGAAGCTTCCTCCTGGTTCTGTTTTGATCTCAGTCATTTATTCCAAATTCACACTATCAGCTGCATACCTTCCGCAGCACTCTGCCACCAGGAGTAAAGAAATTCCACATCAACAGAAGTAAAGCCACCAGACAGTCCCTGAAAGCCGGAGGTGGCTTCCCGGAGGATGGGGTGAGACAGGAGCTCGGGCCGAGAGGTGTTTTGTGAGAAGGGCATGCTAGTGCCCTTCCCTTCCTGGTGCCTCTGCACCCCGCCTCGGGCCCCACCTCCTCCTGCTTTAGGACCTGTGGCTGCCAAGCTCCTGGCAGCTGCCTCTCCTGCCCTACTCCTCCTCTTTCAAAAATGGATTCAGCGCAGTCCTCCAGGCTTGCTCATAAGATGTGTGCAGTCACAGCTCTTTGCTTCACTGGATTCTCTTGCCACCGTCCTTGTTGGGCAAGGACGCTAGGTGGTCCTTGGGGTGCCCAGCATCCGGGACACCGCCCACAGAGAAATAGAGGCAGGAGACAAAGTAGCACTGCTTGTGACTGTGATCTGCATGCCGGCCACAAGGTGGCGCTCGCTGCCCATTATTTGCAGCTACCAGCTTGGCCAGATGTTCTGGCTCCGCCAGGGATACTGAAGGTCTGGAATACAACTCAGGACTGAGCCCTCAGAATTGTCCCCACTTCCACAGGTGCCTGAAGAGAACAGAGCTTCCCACGACCCTGAGGACTCCACCCTCAAGCCCCCGGCCCTGTTGATACCTTCAGGAACACCTGCCTTCTCACAGGTCTTGGTAGCCTAAGCTCCCGAGCAGGTGAGGTCAGCTTGGGTCTGGCTTCTCCCTTGGAACAATAGCTGATTCTCCCAGTGGAACCTCCGCCCTCAGAATCAGATGCAAAGGGGCAGAAAGAAATGAAGGTGTTCATGTCCACTCCCCGTGTGAGATAGAAGAGGTGGGCTGGCCGGGGAGATTGTGCCAAATGAACCCTGGGTGTGTGTGACTTTGTGGCAGTCTTTGCTCTTTGGACAGGACTTGGAGACAGTTGGCTTGGGGCCAACAGCTAAGTGACATGGTGACATGGTGAGAGAGGCTATCTGGGTTCTAGGAACAAGAAAAGCTTACAGCCAGGTACTGTGGCATATGCTTGTAGTTTTATCACTGGGGAGGCTGAGACAGTCACTTGAGCCCAGGAGTTTGAGACCAGCCTAGGCAACATAGCCAGACCCTGCCTTAGAAACAAAAGCAAAAAACAAATAAAAACCCCAAAGCTGGAGTGAGAAAGCTGTAATCCACTGCTTCCAGTGTCTGCCCTGTTCACCAGAGAAGGACGCCCTTACGAGGCCATACAGGACCTGGAAGTGAGCCCCGTTCTTGGCTTTTTCCCTGCAGGCTCCACAGACGGTGGGGGCTTTGGAAGGATCCGGGGACTCCGGAGCAAACCAGCAGCACCGGCTTGCTGGCCCAGCCCCAGGTGCCTCCATCCACCCCATACTGCCTTCACCCCAAGGGATGGCCTGAGGACCTGAGGATGGAGGAGGGGGAGCCACGACAAAGTGGGGGTGCACCATGGGAAGTCTGCCCCCACCTAGGGTCTTGGTGGCCACATCTGTGCCAAGCAGGCTGGAGAAACTTGTCCTGATCCTTCTAGGAGGCAATTCAGCTGCCAGCCACCACCTGCTGGGCACTGCTGCCCCCTGCCTACCCTAACCAGCCCCTCCTAAGCTCCAGGGTCCCCCAGACTTCTGTGCCTCCATAAATAAACACTTGTGTTCTTTATAGAATGCTTGTGGATGCTTCCATAGGGCCAGTTTGAGGGAGAAATGGACCCAAGAGACCTGGCCTCCTGCCCCACCCCTGGCCTTCACCCGAGGGGGCTACCACACTTGGGATCCGCCCCCCACTGAAGGGGCCTGGCAGGGCCTGACTCCGGGCTGAAGTCCTCTCTCAAGGCCCCTCCATGAGCACAGCAGCTATTCCCTGGAGCCAGCTGCCACTCGCCACCCCGTCCAGTAGGCCTGCCCTGGATGCTCCTGCCTGGTGGGCTAGAGGGAGAGAAGTCCCCTTTCACAGCTTCCCCAAGGTCAAGTCAGCCCCCTGGGGCTGCAGGGCAGGGCTGCTTTGGGGAGTCTGGAGTTCCAGGCCTGCCAACACCCTGGGCAGAGGACACTCAGTTCCTGTCCTCAAGGGGCTCACATCTAGAGGGGGACGGGCGCAACAGTGTCCACCCTGAACTCTGACATGTGTGGCTGGAGAAGAAACAGCAGAATCCGGTTGGTTGTCTGGAGGGAAGGCTCCTGGGGAGCAGGGATGAGGGAGCAGGAGGGGAGCGTTCTCTTCTCCCTCCCCACCCCCGGCAGTCCACACACACACACACACACACACACACACACACACACACACTCCCCAGAGCCGTGAGGGGGGCAGGAGGAGAGGCTGAAATGCAACCTATTCATGTCCCCGCTTGCTCTGTGCCACCCCTCGGTTTCCATGCTGGGGAAGACAAAACCCCTTCCCACCCTGTTTTCTGGGACTTGTCAGCAGCTGCCAAGGGGAGCATGATAATTAAACGTCGGGAAGATGGAAGCCAGAGGCCCCAACTCTAATTGGACAGTTTGCTTCACGGGAGTGAAAACATTGTGACAAAGGGGGAGGTGTGTGCCGCGAGGCAGGGGTGCCGCCATGCTGAGGAGGGCGCGGCGCTTTGATGCCAGCTGATGTGGGCGCTGCCCATGGCACCTCCTGGGCCAGGCTCGGAGGGGACTGGGGGCGGCCTTCCGAGGGTAGTGGGGGTGCCTTGGAGGGGACCAAGAATTAGGATCCTGGGAAGAGGCCTTGTCCTGCCAGTGCCAGGCATGGCAGGCAAGAGACATCACAGCTGGTGGTGGGATCTCTTCCTGGACCCCCCACTGGGAACCCATGCCCTGGACAAGTCTCTCCCCCCGCCAGGACTGGGAGGATGGGCGGTGGTCCCAGAGCCGGAGCCCTCTGTGACTCTGACTGTGTGCCAGTCTACTCCTGTCCCTGACACAGGACTGGCGATGGCTGGGCCCTGAGCCCTGGCTTCGGGTTGCGGGCCTCACTTGATCCCTGTTGTTGAACCTCTTGACCACCCTGAGAGACAGAAAGAGGCTGTAGCATCTTGGCCTTATAGGTGGGGAAACTGAGGCCCAGAGAAGCTAACCCCTCATCCACGGTCACCACTGCCATGGAGAGGGGCACAAGGCTGAGAACTGGGCCAAGCCAGGGGACCTGGCTCTCTGGCCCCTGGCCCCAGTCTCAGGCTGGAGAGGGAGGTTTCTGGGTAGCCTGAGATGAAGGTGAGATTTTCCTTCCTTTCCATGACTCCCAGGCCGGGTACTCCACAGGGGTCGGGCACAGCGGGCTTGAGATCACTCTAGAGAGCTCCACAGGAGTCCCACCCTCCCTACACACGCTCTGGGAAGGGGATGCTGAGCTCCGGGGATGCAGCCCCCTTTCTGTCCCCTCCTGCCTGCCTCCAGCTGCTCCTCCCACCCTGAGCTGCTTGCCCAGGGGGAGCCCTCTCCGGGGTGGGGGCCAGGCTGGGGTGCTGAGAGCCAGGAGCAAAGATGGGAAGGAGCCATTGTGGCTAGGCGGCGGGGATTAAGAGGTCCAAATTGGATATGGAGGGCTGAGCCCGTTCCCAAGGGCGGAGGAGGCTGTGTCCCGGCTGCCTGCTGGGCCTAATCCCCTGGGAGCCCCAGAAGCACAGCTGCTGTGGAGAGAGGCCACCCTGGATGGGGCTGGGACAGCCTGGTTCTGGGCATCTGCGCAGCCACCTGAAAAGGCTCGAGTAATGGGGCGTTGTGCTCACATAAGAGTGCCTGGGGACAGGTGCCCCTGGGCTGGGCACCAGGTCCATGGAAGATGCCCGGAGTCAGGGTAGAGACAGTGCCCAGATGTGTCTGATGTTGGGGGTGGGGGTGGGGCTTTGAGCAGCTACCAAGTGACCAGATGACTGGATAAGGTCCCTGACTAAGGGGCAGGTGGCAGGCATCTCCCTGCTCTCGGGGGGCAGGCCCAAGTAGGTGACGTGTGCTGTATCTCTCTGTGTGTGTGTGTGTGTGTGTGTACTTCAGTGAGCAGGGTGCTTGAGGCTGTCCTTCAGAGATGGCTGGAGGGCCTCTGCACATCATAATCAGATTAAGGGGACCAATCACTTAGGGCTCTTGAAAGGGCCCAAGATTTTAATCAGCCTTGAGCACAGGCCCACAAAGCCTGGGAGGGACTCTGTGGGAGCCGCTGGCTGGGGGGCTGTGGAATTGGGGGCGTTTTCTTCCTTCTCTGCTCTCTTGTAATTATGTCAATTTGCTGGCCAAATGGTCGGCTTGAGTGGACAGGCTTGTGCCCATTCATGTGGTAATGCGGGGACCAGCAGCAGGCTCAGGCTGGGCTGGGAAAGAGGAGGTCCCAGCAGGCAGCCCTGCAGGTGTGGGGTGCCAGGCTCAAGGCCCCCTCCCTAGTGGTGGGCCATATTCTATGTATTCCAGAATCTTCTGGCTAGGCTGTGCTCTGGGATAGCTGTTGGGTGGAGAGGAAGGAGGAGACGAAAGAGGGGGACAAGGGCCCCTGGGGGGCCCTGAGGTGACGCTGGGGTTGCTCTGCCCAGTACTGGCCGCTGGTGGGACAAGCTGAGGCTTGAGTGGTTTGGGAGGTGCCAGAGAAATGGAGTCTGTGCAGAGACTTGGAGAAATCTTTTTCCAGGTCCTTGAGGCTCTGGCAAGTGCCACTATGCCACGCTCAGTTTGCAGTGGCTCTCTGCATCCAGCGTTAGCCCAGGAAGGGAGGTTCTGGGTGTCCCATTTCACACACAGGAAAATGAAGGCCCAGAGAAGCTAAGTGCCTTGCCCAAGGTCACACAGCTTGGAGAAGAGTAGCAGAGATCTGAACCCCACTCTGTCTGACCCCTGTGTCCCTTTTTCTCCTCTCATACCTGGGTTCTCCTGCCAACCAGCAAGTGACCCCTGTCTCCCTAGTTTCATGGGGGTGTGGAAGATGTGAGGACCAGGATGACCCCAGGCAAGCACAGACAGGCTACAGTCACTCTCCCATAGGGCTGAGGACCCGCAGAGGGGTCACTGGACCTTGCACTCGGGGGCCAGTGGTCATCATTAGCGCAGAGACAGATTCTGCCCAGCTGCTTCGCTCGCCAGGCTTTCCCTTCCCCGTGCTGCAGACGTGGCACCCGGGCCCTCAGTTTCTCAGTGTGGGCCCTTTCCTCCCCCGCCAGCCCCTCACCACTGGTGGGAGTCTGGGGGTGACAGGGAGCCACAGTCTAGCACTTCCAACCCTCTTCCCAAGGGGAAAAGGCCAGAGTTCATGTCTATTACTGGATGGCATGGTGCCGGAAAATAAGCCTTCACAGAGCAGATCCAATTCATGAGGCAGTTGCCAGGTGCTCTGACTTCCCAGCTCTATGGGAGAGGGGTAGGACTAAAACCTAGGACCCAGGAATCAGTCAGGACAGGAGAGGACTAAACACAGCTAACCCAAAGAGCCCACTATGTGCCAGGCGCAGTTCTAGGCACCTTCCATACAGCATTGTAACATCACAGAATCCTTCGGGGTGAGGTGAATGCAGTTACTGCCCCCATTTACCTCATGAAGAAACTATAGCACAGAGAGATTGAGTTACTTGCCCAAGGTCACAAAGCTGAATAGCTGGCACCTGACCTCACACTCACATGCATCTCTTAGTCTGTCTCTAAGAGTTACCAAAGTCTATCTTTTGCGTGTGTGTGTGTGTGTGTGTGTGTGTGTGTGTGTGTGTGTGTGTCTTCTCGAGGCAGGGTCTCACTATGCAGTTCAAGCTGGACTTGGCCTCAAACTCACAAGGATTCTCCTGCTTCAGCCTCCCAAGTTCTGGGACTACAACCATGTGCCACCACACCTGGCTCCAAAGTCTTAAGAGTTGCAAAATGTCTGAAAAATCCAAATCCGAAATCTCTTTTGAGACTCCAGGCAAATTCTTCGATATGAGCCTCTGTAACAGTGTGGAAGAAAGTTAAACACTGCTGATATATAGTGCCACAGGGCGAACATTCCTATTCCAACAGGAGAGAAGGGGGAGATAGAAAGGAATTAGACCAGAGCAAGCTCAGAGTCCAACAAGGTAAACATAAATCCTTATTCTCTGTCCAGTACCCAGGGTGAGTTGTGGCAACAGATGGATGTGCCTGCAAAGGGTGTAGGTGACTCCGCCCCTACGACACTGCCAGCTGCAGTCCTGGCAGCCCCTCTCTCGGGGTGGCTTTGCTCACTGTCTTTGGCCTCCCTCAGAAGTTCTCCAATCTTGCCTTCTCCAACTTCCTGGGGTCTCCCCTGTACTTCAGTTTGCACTGTTACAGCTTCATACATTGCCTTTAGGAACACACTGTCTGGCCTCCCAGGCCATCTTCTGAAATCTGGCTGGAAGCTTCCCTGACCCTACAACTTAAGTTTTGTACACCTGTAAAGCCAGCATCCCTGCATGACTCCAAGGTCAGCCACCAGCTCAGGCAGTAACCAGGCCCCTTATATCGTTGCTGGAGAGCCCTCTGAGTGCCTAGATGGCTGAGCTCTGAATGAACTGGGTTCTTTGGGACTCTCATCTGCAATCAAAGTCCTTTATGTTTGGAGACTTGAGCCTTTGAAGAGTGGGGTCTTGCTGATTCCTGGGATCCTGCTGTCTTGGTTACTTTTCTCTCATTACTGGGACAAAACACCCAACACCCAAAATGAAGGAAAGAAAGGTTTATTTAGCTCCCTGTTTGTGGATGTTTCA